TGTGAAACTTTCTGTAAGAGTGTTGGAGAAGGAGAAAAGTGAGAGATATCTTCTTCCTGCATTTCTAAGGAAAGGCTACAAGGGATTCGCTTTGAGCAAGAGTTTCAGATAAGTTTTATTTGTTTATTAGTGTTATATGAACTTTCTTTTATATATAAAATTTATGTTTTGTTGTGTCTTTCTCATGAAATCTGAGTAGCTCCCTCTATCTTTCTCCCTACTTTGAGATATGGTGAAATGAAGAGATAATATGATGTGTAAATATTAAAATATAAAATAAATTGTGATGATTTTTCAACTTTGAACTTAATTTACATTTCGATCTGGTCAATTGAATTGTTAAAATATGTTGTGAAACATATGATCAAGGAAATGAAGTATGAGTTCTACAACAGAGTGAAGATCACATTTGATTTCATGGAGGAGAAATTCATTCATGGAATTAAGTGCAAATAAATAGGGAAATATTCTTTGTTGGGTGTAGAATTAGAGAATCTTTAGGGTGACAGACTAAAATCTCCAATTCAGTCTTAGTGTTTAAAAACTAAAGCAAGAGTTAGCCTTCAGGTGAAGGGAAGTGGGAGCCGACATCCTCCTAGCCTAGCCACAGATTTAGGGACTAAAACTAGGATTAGCCAATGATTTTATATGCACTATATCAGGGTAGAGAATTATAATTGCTCCTATTTGGCACAATACATATTTTAAACATTTATCTCATCTCATTTCACCAGAACCTCATTGTAGTGAGAATGATGTTTTTTCACATAAGAAATCTTTATTACATAAACATAGTTAGGAGATTATTATTTACTTTTTTAAACTTTGCATTTCTGTTTTGCTAATAGTTAAGTACTTTAGTTTTGATAATATCTCAACATTCAAAATTAGTGACAGTGATTTCGTTTGATTTTCTGTTTGATTTTCTAGTGATTTCGTTTGATTTTCTGTAAATTTCATAGTAAAACTTATCATTGACAATTAATACCTTCCCTGTGGGATAGATATTTGGGGCTTAAATAAAAAGTCTTTTATCACTTGATAACGATAAGTATACTTCCGTAGAATCTCATTATTAATTGCCTATAATTATATATATTTTACACAACTTACTTTTCATACAAGGATCAAGTTTTTTTGCACTGTAGTAATGTTAACTTCATAAATCCTTACATATAAAAAATCGGGATTAGTACTCTAGGATAGTCAATAGGAAATTCTTATGGCTAAATATTAGGCTTATAAAGAAGAGAATTAGACCTCATAAAAAATGATGTCAACATAGTGTTGTTGGGGTAATTTCATGGTGTTATTGTCGTGTTAGTGGGGTGGTTTTATGGTGTTATTGGAGAATTGTCGCAGTTCTATTATAGAGGTTTCGCAGTGGCGTTGTTGCCATAATTTTGCAGTGTTATATGGTGTTATTGGGGTGATTTAGCGGTGTTATTGGAGGGAACCAGCGATGTCATTGACACGTTTTTTTAGGCGGTGTTCTTCACGTTTTTTATGGTATTATTGATGTGTTATTTCATTGTTATTTGTATGGTTTTACAGTGTTTTTGGGGAGTTGTCACATTGTTATTAGCATGGTTTTGTGGCGGCGTTGATGACATAATTTCACGTTATTGTTATTTCAGTGTTATTGGCATGATTTTGTAGTGTTATTGGGAGCTAAAGTTGTTATATTACATTAGTTGTTAGTCTAGCCATAAATGTAAATATTTCACAATAAAACATATCACAATTAAACATATTTGGGAGCTATATAAAGACATCAAGTTCAATAATAAACCAAATTAACATCAAAACTCGTATGGACTAACCATAAGGCCTTTTTTAATTGGATAAATGGCCAAATACGTGTTTGAAGATTAATAAACCAAAAAATGAATTTGTATTTCAGATTACTGTAAATAACATAAATTAAGAGTAGATCAAACCTGAAGCACACGTATTAAATGAACTCATTAATAATAAACTTAGAACTCACTAATTGAATCCATCAACAGGATAGTATATGTTTCCGAGGGTTGTGAAGTAATGCTTTTCTGCTATTTTAAAGTAATTATAAATGAACAATTAGGAATGTATTTTAGTTAAGAAACGGTCTAATGGTATTGAATTTTAGTTATATACCTCATTGAGACAATCCGATATCGTAAACAAATTTGCCTCTCATGGGATAACTGGTTCTTGGCTTGATGAAGCATCTTTATCCTTTTATGTATACCATAGTTCAAGTTAAAAAAAAGTAATGTTACATCGAGTAAAGTCGTTTTTGAATGTAGAAATATATACTTTAGTCTCTTATTTTTTTCCTAAAACCCTTTTAACCCAAAATTAGATTAAGAATTAGATATTCTTTCTGATCGCATCTTCGTTGGGCCATTCAAATTGTATTCTCTATTTAACGTTTATTTCTTTTTTGGTTTTTGCTTTGATTGAGGTGCTTTCCCACTTAATATGTCTTGAATATCTACTGATAATTTTTTTTTCAATAATTCCAGCATACATTGCTCAGCCAGTTCATTTTCTTGCTCTTTAATACTAATTTGATATATAAACTTTTGAACGTGTGAGCGAAAAAAAAGACCACTTGAAGAGTCATTCAGCATTTGGGACTCCTTTAGATGTTTATATCCATAAGTGTTATAGATGTCCCTTTTTGTTTGAACAGGTCATCACAATAATAAATATTTAACAGGAATTTTATTATATTTTTCAAGTTAAGAACTCGTAGAGAGTAAGCACATAATAACCATATCATTTCAAATTTTTTATAGTTGCACGTGATCCCAAAATTAATCTTGTCAAATTTAACAATCTAAAGTTTGTTTGTCTCCTGATTATCTAATTTCCTTAAGTAAAATTTTGAATCACTCGCTATAGATAATTCCACAGCAAGACTATAACCTATGTAATAACTTTTCCTCAAACATTAAGTATAGCTTCCTCGTATAAAATGAAACAAACTGCCTCAACATCGGTTTGTTTTTAACCATGGGCGCAATTACAGACTGAGCACATTTGAAATCTTTGTCCTTCTCATTTCATCTTCATGATTTCATAACATTTTCAAGATCAACAAAAAAATCGATAAAAGAGCTTGTTGGCTTGGAAACATCATGACAGATATTATTTGTTGACTCACTTCTTTGAGTTAATAAGATTCTCATTCCAAATATTTCTTTATTGATGGTTATTGACCACTTATGTCTGATATTATACAAATCAACTAACTAAACGTCGCAGTGAAGGTTTCCTTTCTAAATTAGTACAGACCAAATTTCTTCAAACTTCTCCTCCAAATCACACTTGCTCATGCATTTATAAAAAAAAGGGCGTTCACACTCTTGCTACCCATACCACAATGCACATTCGAAAGAAATTTCTTGTAGATATGACATTGACATAATCTATGTCGCGTATGCGAGAGACAATCTTCAATAGCATTTGTCATTGCTTGATCCTGATTCGTAGAAATTGCTAATTGAAGCCTGTCATTCATTATACGAACAAATGTTTTGAATAACAACTTGAAAGAATCAATCGTCTTGTCGGACAAAAAACCAACTTCAAAGAGAACATTTTGTCAATGGTGGTTAACCCCATTAAAAAGAGCACAACATAAATTATACTTATTCAGCCTGTAGCTTATCTAAAAAATTATGACATCCCTAAAATAATCATAATCAAGTCTAGACATCTCATCGCTCCAAAAAACCCATCAGTCTACCACACTCATTAGTATGGAAGTCCCACACAAACATATTATCCTCACTTTGCGTCTCCATGAGCAATTGTAATAGAAAATTAGCATCACCTTGTTCAATTTTATCTCTTCAATCTCTTTGAATAAAATTTAAGGCACCTCTCTTCGTACATTCCAGGTTTTCTACCCCAACTTTTGTAGCAAGGAAATTAATTGCATTCTTTGTCCTAATACTTGATTTTATTGTCGATCTCAGCAAGGAAATTAATTGCATTTGTCATAATACCTGATTTTGTTATCGATCTCAGCACATCTGTATTGATCTCGCTTATTTTTTTACTAAAATGCAAAAGATATTTATCATTAGGTTCCTCTAATGGGTGGTTGCAACTTTCTGTAAATTTCTTAATTGTTCAGTTGGTTTCAAATCAACAACATATCAAACCATGGTTGGACAACCAATTATTTTTGTCCGCTTTTTTGAACTTCACCGTGTTCGTGAGCTTCTACTCTTTCCTGTGACCAGTTTTTCCACATATAATGTCTTTTGTCTTATTTTCTTGAAGTTTGACAAAAAACTGTAATGATTCTTTCAAATAGTGAATCTAATATGATGAGCATAAGCACAATAATGTTCATATACTTCTTGCTTATTGTGGACAATAGTGTGTACAAAACCGTCTGCAATTGAATCATTGCAAGCATTTTAAAGCTCACAGAATTGCAAATTTGCATAATATTTTAAACATGGTTAGACATAGAAATAATATCAGCTGAATACTATAATCTCAATAAAACAAAATATTCTAGCAATACCTTCATAATCCTATAATAATACAAAAATACCACAAGAAGACTACTAAAATAATACAAAAATAACATCACAATAACATCAAAATAAGACAAGAATAACATCAGAATAACACCAACACAACACATCATGAACACCCAAATAACACCGTAGAACACCACAGTAGCACCACAATAATGACTTTACGATAATGACAACATTTCGTGCACAACTAAACTCACTTCTATTTCAAACTCCTTGCCAATATTTTTTAAATTCATCATCAATATTTCTCAATCGAGAGGACGCTCATCGCAATTTTTTGAAACCCTAGCTTCTAAATGAAAAACATGACAAACTAAAGCTAGAACATGACAAAACACGCTTTTTCAAAGAAGTGGGCTGGTTCGGGCCATCACATATTAAAAAAAAACACATTTTCATTTTTTTTATGGATGAGAATGGGATTTACAGGTGGTGAGATTTTATTGAGATCCGACACAACTTTATGTCCGGAGTCGGGCCTCTAACTTTTCTTACTCAACAAGTAGGCTAGCGAAGCGAGGTTTAAGCGCACTCAGTTCCGCTAGGGTTTTACCAGACGAATCCGCCGCTTGTCTTGTCTTTCAACCGGAAGTCTCAACCCCAATGGCAGCTGGCGGCGGTCAGGCGGCCTTCTCCTTCCTCACAAACATAGCGCGCACGGCTGTAGGGTTTGGTGTTAGCGCCTCCTTGCTCTCTGCCTCCCTCTACACCGTCGACGGTGGGCAGCGCGCCGTCTTGTTCGATCGCTTTCGCGGCGTCCTCGATGATACCGTCGGCGAAGGAACCCACTTCCTCATCCCCTGGCTCCAAAAGCCCTACATATTCGACATTCGCACCCGCCCTCACACCTTCACATCCAACTCCGGTACCAAAGATCTACAGATGGTGAACCTCACCCTTCGCCTCCTCTCCCGCCCCGACGTCCCGATGCTCCCCACCATCTTCAAATCCCTCGGCACCGAGTACGACGAGAAAGTCCTTCCATCAATCGGTAACGAGGTCCTCAAGGCTGTTGTTGCCCAGTTCAACGCCGATCAGCTCCTAACGGAGCGTCCTCATGTCTCCGCTCTTGTGCGCGACGCACTTATTAGACGTGCTCGGGATTTCAATATCGTTCTTGATGACGTTGCGATCACGCACCTCTCTTATGGTTCGGAGTTTTCTATTGCTGTGGAGAAGAAGCAGGTCGCTCAGCAGGAGGCTGAGAGATCTAAATTTCTTGTGGCACGCGCTGAGCAGGAGCGGCGTGCTGCTGTTATACGTGCCGAGGGGGAGAGCGAGGCTGCTAAGCTGATCTCTGATGCTACTGCCGCTGTTGGTACCGGAATTCTTGAGCTTAGGAGGATCGAGGCTGCGAGGGAGATTGCGTCCACTCTGTCCAAGTCGCCTAATGTTGTTTACTTACCTGGTGGGAACAACATGCTGCTCGGGCTGAATTCTACAGGCTTGGGACAGGGGCGGTGATGGATTTGATGAGATAATGGTGGGAACTTCTTTGATTCTCAAATCTTTCATCATCTTTTTTGCTGAATTTAGTTTTTTTCTTATTGCGGTGCTTTATTTCTGTGATAATAACTCTTTATGAGCTTTTAAAGGCTGTTAGAAATTTATCAGGTTGCATGCATTCTGTGTAAAATGAACAATATGTTTCCATTGACACAGTTTTGATTCAAATTGCTATTACTTGTTGGAGATCCCCCATGTTTTTATGTGGATTTTTCAGATATATTTCGTGTATTTCTTTGTGATTACATTTCTTCTCTCATGATGTCTCATTGAGGGTGACCACTTACAGTCTTCTCTCAAAAGAGTTTCTAAATTGTGCTGTGTTCAATCTATTGCCATTTATTAGTTTGCTCTAGGGTATATACAATAACAACAACAAAAACAACAAAGCCTTAATCCCACTACGTGGGGTCGGCTACATGAATCCTTTTTCTCCATTGCATCCTATTTAGTGTCATATTTTCATTTAGTTCTAGTAAATGAATATCTAGTAAATTAAGATCATTTTGAATACAATAAGCCCAAGTATTCCTAGGTACTCTGCCTTTCTTAACACAAGTCGAATTTAAAACATCTACTCTCCTAATCGGATCATCAGATGGTCGACGTTTATTGTGACCAAACCATCTAAGACGACTTTCTCTAATTTTGTCCGTCACAGGAGCTACACCAACCCTATCACGAATATATTCATTTTGCATTTTGTTACTAAGTGTAAAGCCACTCATCCACCTAATCATTCTCATCTCGGCAACACCTAACTTATTATTATGCTTCTCTTTTAAAGGCCAACATTCAGCGCCATAGAGCATTGCAGGTCTCATCACCGTCTTATAAAATTTTCCTTTCAGTCTAAGCGGTACTTTTCTATCACACAAAAGTCCTGAAGCATTCCTCCACTTCAACCAACCAACTTGAATTCTACTATTAACGTCCCCATCTATATCACCATCGCTTTGAACAACGGACCCAAGATATCTAAATTGTTCACACCTTTTAATAATTTGATCACCCAAAGTCACACTTCTGTCACTAGAGCTATTACTACTAAAATTACATTCCATGTATTCAGTTTTAGTTCTACTTAAACGAAGGCCTTTAGACACCAATGTAGACCTCCATAATTCAAGTGTTTCCTGGGCTTTTTCTCTCGTTTTAGCCACGAGAAGAATATCATCAGCAAAAAGCATACACCAACGTACATCCTCTTGTAGATGTCCAGTAAGACCATCCATAACTAAAGCAAAAAGATATGGACTTAAAGCCGATCCCTGATGTAATCCAGCAGAAATAGGAAAGTATTTTGTCAATCCTCCTT